GCTGAACTTCGCGGCAGCAAGTTCCACTGCAGGGATGAGCCATGTGCCCTCCTGGCTGCCCCAAGCCGCCTCCCTCCACTCCTAACGATGCAGAGTCCTGGCTCCTTACTATCCCCTGAAGTCAAAAACGCATATGGTTTTGCATGCAAGGCCCATTTCCCAAGGTAATTAAAATAATTTCATTAGTGTTGTGAGGCCCCAGGACCTTCTCCCACCGTTGTCGCCCCAAAGCCTTACCTGAGCTCAGGTTTCCGTGCCCTGGCTGGTGGAGTGGTGGTGATGGGTTGGGCTGTGCTCAGCAGTCATTGTGGCATGGCACGGCTCGGTGCCACCCTTGCTGCCTCCACCAATACCTTCACCCCCTTCCCACCGTTCCCGTTCCAGCGTGTCCCATTTTAAGCCCCTTTTTGGCAATGTCCTGTGCCACACCTGGGTAAACATTTTATGCAATTGCCTTCCGCAAAAACCTTACAGCAGAAAAGTAGATGAGGGATACTGAGACCCCCAAGAGCCCCTTCTCTGACTGCGTCCCTTCAGCCCCTCAATGTTCGAGAAAGAGATGAAAGGAGAAAATCAGAGATGGTCAAACAGCTATGGCTTCGTGGGGTCATGGTCCTTCCCAGCATCTCTGCAGATCATTGCTGAAGCTCAAAGCTCCCAAATCAAGAAGTTGGAAGAGTGTTGGGCTTTTGGTAATGGTCTCCCCAAAGGGCCACTGGAGACAAGGGGAGCAATCTGCTCTCCACCCATGCTGGCCAGATCAAGGGGGAATGAGCTTAAGGTTTAGCCAAAAGGAAGGGGGTTAATTTGGGGGAAAATCTTTCTAAGAGCAAGACTTGTTGGGGTAGGAGCGGGAGGTGGCCACCATCCCTCCCTCACTGTGCTCTTCCACCCAAGTGCAAAGGCCAAGCTGGAGGTGAGAACAAGGCATCACTTGCTCACGGGCACAACCCAACAGTGCCAGCACCACCAAGGCACAAACTGGGGTTTTCCAAGCTGAAAAGAAGATTTAATCATGTAGTTTCTTTGGTATTTCAAGGAGACTTAAGGTTGGGGTAATCTGTACATGCCTTTGACAAGTATAAATATCACTTAAGAGTATGATTTTAAAAAATCAATATAATTATATTGCTATTGTCTCTCATACGGTCACATTCAGACTAGTATAAAGGAGCTTTATGGTGCTACAGATCGTTCTTCCCGTATTGAACTGGCTGTAGCAATATAAAGCACCTTCATACAAATGAGTTCCTACAACCGCCACCAAATCACTGTCATTAAATCAGTGTAGCTCTGGGTTGCACACAAGCCTAGCTACCACACCTGCCTTTAAAAAGCTTCCCAGCACACGGAACTCCACTACATAGGCATACTTTCCCCAAAATGCTTGAGTGTTCAACTTCCACTAATTTCTGAGGGTTTGAATCCGCGGATACACACCCAGTAAAAGTATTTGGGGATCTGAGACAGTAATTGATTTTTTTTGATCTGGGCCATAAGTATTTTTGAAAATCCCTCCACGTATGAAAAATGGCTTTTAAAAAGAGGTCACGCAATCAAATTGCTTTGAACTCTAATAGCATTTAAGCCTCTAAACTCTTTAGGCTTATTTTAAAATCCAGCCATGAAGTATAGATTATTTTAACCTAAGAAGAATTGGAAGTAAACTACTGAAAACTGCCTACAATACTGAACGTGTGTATCAGGAGGGGAAAGCAAAAGTATGGCCTCAGGTTGTGCCAGGGCAGGTTTAGGTTGGACATTAGGGAAAATTTCTTCACCACAAGGGCTGTCAGGCACTGGAAGGTCAAGTCCCCATCCCTGGGGGTATTTAAAAGCCAGGCAGATGAGGTGCTTAGGGCCAGGGTTTAGTGGTGGGATGGCAGGGTTAGGGTAACGGTTGGGCTTGGTGAGCTTAAAGGTCTTTTCCAACCCAAACGATTCTGTGATTCTATGTAGCTATAAATAAAAATGAAAGTGTCTGTCGTGGTTTAACCCCAGCTGGCAACTGAGCCCCCCCAGCTGCTTGCTCCCCCCCAGTGGGATGGGGGAGAGAATCGGAAGGGTAGAAGTGAGAAAACTCATGGGTTGAGATAAAGGCGATTTAATCACATAAAGCTTAATAAAAGCAAAAGCCTCGCACACAAACAAAGCAAAACAAGGAATTGATTCCCCACTTCCCACCATTCAGCCATCCCCAGGACAGCCGGGCTCCATCACACCTAACGGTGGCTTGGGAAGACAAATGCCATTGCTCCCAACATCCCCCTCCTTCCTCCGCCAGCTCTATACGCTCAGCATGCCGTCATACGGTGTGGGATACCCCTGGGGTCAGTCGGGGTCAGCTGTCCTGGCCATGTCCCCTCCTAGCTCCTTGTGCACCCCCAGCCGCTCACTGGTGGGGTGGGGGGAGAGGCGGAAATGGGCCTTGCTCTG